TAAAAAAGAAAAAGAAGAAAAAGTATAATTATATATAATACTAAAGTTAATTCTACTATTATAGTAAGAAACTTATATTAAAGAATATTGACTAGTATATAAAGAGGCGTATACTATTTTACTTAATAAATATTTTAAATGACAGTATGGAATTAAGAAAATAATTATATAGTTCTCTATCTTAAAGTATACTATACTAGAAATTCTTTAAGTATAACTCTCTATATAAGAGATTAAGAATTAGATTAATATCTTACTTTTAAACTATAGAGTAGTCTACTAGACTAGATTCTTTATATAAATATAAAGAGAAAAGAAAAAAGAGAATAAAGAGAATTAAAGCTCTTTTTATACATAATAGAAGACATAGAAGTAAGAGAGATAAGAGTAGTAGTAAAGATTAATCTAGTATAGAGATAAGTACTAAGTATCTTACTTACTATAGATAAAAAAATAGTATTAAATATATATATAGTATACTTAGATATAAAACCTATTATATCTATTAACAAGTTTACTAAATAAGATATTAAAATAAGGCTAAAGATTAATTAGATTATATACTAAGTATGATACTAGATAAAAAAAATAATAAGTTTATTGTTACTTAATATAGTTAGACTATAGATAGACTAATGATTTATAAGTCTAAATTACTTAATTATTAAGAGTATAGTTAATATAAAGAATAATTAGATAATCTTTAGTCTAAGAGAGTATATAATAAATTTCAAAGATAGAGAATTTATTGATTAGTAAATTAATCTAATTTCGATTATATAATTATGAAAATATTTAGATATCTATTAAGATTAGACGTTAGAAAAGAGTAAACTAATAAAGAAAAGCCTATAATTAATAGATTTAGTTAGACTAGAAATAAAAGTATATAGTTTAATAATCTATTAATCTGGATTAGTAGATTAATTAGTCTATTATCTTAAAATATTCTATATATTTAAAGCTCCTAATATATAATCGTAATATCTTTAGTTAATATATTAGATTAGAAAATAGTAAAAGGCTAAAATAGAATAGAGATAGAACTATACTAAATACTTAATAGAAAAGAAATAGTAGAACTATATATAGAATAATCTAAAAAAGAAGAAAAAATAACTAAATACTAAGAAACTATATATAGATTACTATAATACTAAGAAGTAGTTAGAGTCTTATATAGTAGATAACTAACCTTAGACTTAAGAACTAACTTATAACTAGTATAATAGCTATTAGAATAACTACTAAATATAATATATTCATTAAACAAACCTTAATAATACTTTCTTAGTGTCTTAAAAGCAGACGTATAATAATAATAATTATTATACAGAGGGGTGACATGAAAAAAAAGTAAATAGAAAGGTTCTAGTTTTTAAACTAATATAACTGAACAAATATTAGAGCTATTCCTAATCATGCTAGCTTATTTTAAAGATAAGAAATTGAGGTTTTACCCAGATAGGCTTAGTATATACTTATTTAGCATAGTTAAGGCACTAAATAGTTCTAAAGTAGAGCCTGAAAAAACGCTAATTTTAAGCTTAAATATCTGTTTAAGTAGGGTATCTTTTTTCTTTAGAATTATATATAGTATATCATAGGCTTTAAAGACTAGAAGTCTATAGTTTAAAGCTAATTAATAGAGAATTAAAAAATTTAAAGCTTATTTTAATATAAGCTGGTTTATACTAAAAACTTAGTAATAATAGCTACTAATACTTGGTTTACTAGCCTTTACCTTCTATTACCTACCTATAATAGTTAAGTAAAGATAAAATATAGTTATCTACTACCTGTTATAGAATAGCTTACTACTCTTCTAAAATTGCTTATTTAAACGTTTTAACGCTCTCTTTATCAAGCCTAATATCTAAAGAATATATTTTTCGTTTATTTAAACGATCTTTAAGTAATTTCTAAAAGTTTTTAATTGTATTTAAATCTAGGCTATAGAGAGAGTGTAGATAAAGTTTTTTTTTATTTCTTAAAACTAGCTTAAAATGTTTTTAGTTTTATTAATTTTAGATTTATTTTACTAAAATGATTAACCTAGATAGCTATTAGTATATATTATATCTTATATAAATTAGAATATTAATAAAAACTCTAGTTATTTAAATTGAAATAAGTTAACTAAAAGAGATTATTAATTAAACTTACCGCGTATAATATTTAGTTTAACTTGCGGTATTAGAGCTTTCGTTGGATAATGATAATTTTTCTAATTAATAGTTATCTCTAGCGTTTTAATAACTACTATATTAGATTTACTACCTATCTAAATAGCTCTCTAAACTTAAATTCTAATATCGCGGCCTATATCTCTATTTCTAAGCTAGATATTGAATAGAATAAATTAGCCTATTAGGATTTTTTTGAAACTTACTTATATTAGCTATAGAAACGTATTTCTTACTAAGATTAAATTTTTACCTCATTCTAACCCCTTCGCTTTTAGAACCGTGCCTACGTTATATTACTAACCTATTAGAAAATTTTATTTCACTAAAATCAATATTTTCTAGCTCTTCAACCCTCTCTTTAGCGTATTTAAGACAATTTTTAGCTTTAAAATTATTTAAAATAGCTTTTTTTTAGTAATGTTATAATAATAATCTTCTACTTTTAAAGGTTATTATAAGCTTTTAATAGTTGTATTAAGATTATTTTTAGGAAACAATGTCTTATTTTATTTTTTAGAGCTTCTAGTTAAGTCTCTATTAATAGCTCTTTTAACTTTAGGAGTAATCTTTAAACTCTGAGCATTTTTAGCTCGTACTTTTAAGCTATTTAGCTCTTTATTTCTCTTAACTTAGCTAATAGTATTATAAATTAATTTAGGAGGTTTATTTATTATATTAATAATATCTTTAATAGAAATATCTCTATTTAAGAAATAGCAAATTTTAGCTTTAAAATTTAAAGATTTTATAGCTATTTTAAGGATTTAGAGCTTTAGAATTTTTTTCTAGAAAGATAAGAACATCGACTTTAAGCTTACTAAGCTAGATTACTAATCCTACCTATCCAAGCTCACTCTAATTTATTCTTAATTTTTTATCTAATGAAATAACTTATAAATAATAGCTTAAATTTATATTACTTAATCTCTATATATAGATTTATTTTATATATTGTTTCTAGGTATTTTTATACGTCTAATAAAGAGATATTTAAGCTTAAAACTAGCCTTTTTTTAAGGCTCTAGTTTAGAGCTATTTAGTGTCTTAACCGTGCTAAGTCAGCATATACTAATCCCTATCTAGGTAAAACTTCTACTTCTTATTTTCAAAATTAGTTAGCCTAATTAAGGATAGCTCTAATATTTGTTTAGTTATCTTAGTTTAAAAACTAGAACCTTTTTAATTACTCTTTTTAATATCACCCCTCTATTTTAATCTATACTTATAGTTACTAAAAAGACCTATTAGTTTNTAAAGAAAGTATCGTAAGGAGGTAAAATAAATACTTTCTAAAATATAAGATAGCTCATATAAGATTAAATAGATTTAATTATAAATAACTTAGTAGTAGATAATATAGGTTATAAGTAAATTAATTGTATCTAGGTAACGATTTAACTATAGACTTTAAGCTTCTTTTATAAAAAGCTTATGGACTTATCTAACTCTAAAGTCTATTTTATATTTATAAAAAAAATACTAAGTAATCTATTAAAAATACTTAAATTGGTGATTTAGGATATTTATAAACGTTTGATAAGCTATTACTAATATAAAACTAATTAAATAATAAGAAATTAAATACTTAATTTAAAATTAAATACAGAGAAATAGTCAGCAGTTAATAAATAGCTTAAAACTAATACTAGTGAATATCTTTAAACTTATTTATGATACTTAATTTGTATAGAAATCTACTAGATGATTTAATAGTACTATTATTATAATAGTAACTAAAAAAAAGATTATATATAAATTAAGTTATTAAACTTATATAGTCTCTTAATTCATATAGTTTCCTTAGTTTTTATAAACAAAAGTTATCATTTTTTAATTTTTTATTCTAGTATTTTCTTTTATTAATATATTATATTTTGAACTATAACTTTATATAAGTTAAATTTTATACTTTTTCTATAAGTTATAGCTTAATACTCTATAACTAAGGATTATTAAAGTAAAGTATTATTAATTTTATATTCTATCATATATAGAATATTATTAATATCTATTATTTAGCTCTTAAAAGCTTATTTAATAATAAATCTAAATCTATACTATTTATTAAAAATAATACTTAACGAACTTAGAGGTTAAAGACCTAAGCAGGAATAAATTAAGTTAAATAACTTTTTTATTCTTTTAAATTAACTAAACTAACTGTAATAATAAAATCTTAAGACTTATTTTTATTCGTAGCTTTTGTAAAATTATTATCTAATATTATTTTAGTATTTTTATATACTAAGTTAATATTATTTTCTATTATATTATCTCTAATAAAGTAATAGGTAATATCTATATATTTTATTCTAGTATAATAAATTAGATTTTCAGCAAACTTACTAGTACTTTAGCTATCTTTTTATATAATATTTATTATAATAAAGATTTCTTTTTAATCTTTAGTAGAGATATAGCTAAATAATTCTTTTATAAAGTTTTTAAAATATATACTCTCTTTAGTAGCGTCTTTTAAAGCTATATATATAGCTTTAGCGCTTAAAATTATAACTACTTTTCATAGTTTAGAAATCTAACTAATAGCTATATTTTTATTCTCCTATATACTCTCTTTAGTAGCTTCTTTTAAAGCTATATATATAGCTTTAGCGCTTAAAATTATAACTACTTTTCATAGTTTAGAAATCTAACTAATAGCTATATTTTTATTCTCCTAGTTATTTAAGTTATTTTTTAAATAAAAATATTTTTTGTAGTTAATTTTCTACTATCTATATCACCCCCCTAATCAGAATCACTAATTTATATCAAATTAATAATTTTATTAATATTAATTAATAATTCAAATTATAGAGTTAAATCTAAGCTATAATCTTTAGTAGTTAATAAATAAAGAAATATATTATTTGGATATTTATAACATTTTAAGCTTAGATTAGATATATATCTAATTAGATAATTAATACTAAAAACTAGATTAGGCCGAGTCGAGATAATTAAATAAATTAAACTACTAATTTCTTTTTAAATAATTGTTTATTAAGCTAGAATTATCTTCTTCTCAGTTTTTTAATAGTTTTATAACTATTAACATTAGTATAGTATTATTTTTATTTAATGTGTTTATTAAACTTGAATAAGTATTTATTTATAAAACCTCTTTATATTATAATTATAGATTTTTTAAATCTATCTATAATAGTTTTAATAACTAGAAATTTATTTATTTCTTCTAGATTATTAATTTCTAATTTAGATATCTTAGAAATTTTATTATAAAGATTATTATATCAATATTTATTTTTTATATAAACTAATATATTATCTACGTGTGTAGCTAAAATAATAGATTTATTTTTACTGATATAAATACTATTATTAATCTTTAAATCTATAAAATCTAGCTATTCTAGTATTTTAGCTAATAATAACTACTACTTATAAGATGCTTATTTAAGTCTATAAAGCGCTTTATTTAGCCTATAAACTATGGTTTAATAGTCTTTAGTAGCTATTGTATTTTTTCTATATTTAGTTAAAGCGTTATCTTTAATATTAATTAAAGGCTTTGTTTAAAATATATTCTTCTAGGCCTATAGGTAGCTATACTAA